TAATAATCTTAGTGCCATTTACCATCCTTCTCACGTCATATTGAACTTGATTATCATTTTGTTCGTGAAAATGTGGTTCGTGACAATCATCTAGTTTATTACATTTCTTTCACTGATCAAACTACTAACCTCTTTACCAAGGCTCTTCATCATCCTCGGCATAGTGTATTTTGTTCCAAACTTGTCCGATTAGGCTCGTCCAGTTTGTGGGGGGTGTTAAATTAAAGTTTAATTAATTCGAATTTTTTCCGTAATTATTGTTTGTATTATAGGAACGTCAATTTTAATTTAGCCAGTGTAAAATTCAAATCTAAATAAGAATAGACACTATCCGATATATTATAATACTTTACACAGATCAGTACAAGGAGTCATATTTTTATAAAATAATTAATCACTAAAAAGAAAAAAAAACATGTTTAAACAGCCATGTAGAGTGAGCATTTTGGTTATTAAATAATTAATAATTTGGCGAACCTTTCTTAATTTAATATAAATGAAAATTCAGAGATCACACACGCATTTTGTTCTACATGTTTCCGAGCTGTATAATCTCTACAAATCTCTCCTTTTCTCTTCTCTTCTCATTTTTCTCCGCTCCAGATTTGTTTGAGCAATGTCCGACGAGCCTGCTCCCAGTCGCTGGTCCTTTCAGGTACTCACTCACCAATTCGCTTATTAGTTTCTGTTTGTTTCCCGAGAAAATGCTGGTCGAATTGAAAAGTTTGGCACTTGAACGAAACTATGAGTAGAGTAGCTGTTAGCTTTTTCTGGGTTTGAATCAGAAACTGAAGGAACCCAATTTCTATTTTTGTTTGTTTTGCTTGCTTCTGTTTTCTATGCTGGCAAATATGAGCTCACTGGCTCAGTGATCTCAATTAGTATAATTTTTGTTTTGGGATTAATTATATGCTTAGAGTTGAGTATATTTGGATTAAATTCTGGTTGTTGAGATTATGTAGTTGCGAATTTTGATCTGATGGATAGGTTTGAATCAAGAATTCTTGGATTTATCTCAGCTAAAATTATGTGCATTTCTAGGATTTTAAATTGTTTTATGATGCTAAGTTTGGTAGAAAAAAAGCACCGGAGCCGCAGCAAAACGGGCAGTCCACTAATGGAGATGTGAGTAATGGAAGTAGTTCCGGAGTGACCGCGAAGAGGACAGCTGACTTGGCCATCTACGAGCAATTTCAAAACCAGGTAGTGGATTTGATCTTATCATGTAGTGAATTGGATTTGACATATTGCATGAACATGTACAGTTGCATTCATTTGTTCTTCGGTTTCATCTGTTTTTCAGGGTAGGGGCTCCGTGCCTCACTCAAATGGAGTCTTAACTGATCAGCATGATGAGATACCGTATGTTTTCTTGCAACTTTTCATTGAAGAATGCTTCTTTAAGAACCTACTGACATTTTTTTGTGAACTCCACAGGCAGAAGTCCCTTTTACCTGCTTTTGAATCAGCAGAAATGCGTTCTTTAGGAGAGAGTTTATGCAGGTGATTTTAGATGAATGACTTCACATGATGGAATACAAGTTACTGCTATTACATTTTTTTTTCCCGGTGGCCAAGGATGATTACAGTTGCACCCTGAAAGTTTCGTCATTTATTTACCATGCATTGTGTCTTGTGCAGGGATATAATTCGGGGTAGTCCAGATGTTAAGTGGGAAAGCATCAAGGGATTAGAGAATGCCAAGCGTTTGCTCAAAGAAGCAGTGGTCATGCCAATCAAATATCCCAAGTACGTCTGGTCAATGAGCACCTCATGTACCAAATTTATTTAATAAACAATTAACGATTTAACGTGTTTGTTCTTGCATTTTTATGTACTCCTATATTTTTTTTGTTCGTAAAGTTCAAGAGAATCAGATTGCTGAATTGCTAGTTGTTTACTTGTGAAGCATGGTCTCAGTTTACATTCCTTTTTCTGTGACATTGAAACCAATATTAACTTAATTTAATCATGGTTCATGCTAATTGCTTTTAGTATTTCTTTTAAATTCGTGGAGTACCAAATGTTTTTCTTTATGTTAAGCTAAATTAATTAATATGTGCTAGAATATTTTGATACAGTTTCTTGCAGCTACTTGTCTGGAAACTGGGATAAAACTTTGAAACAACCAGATTGAATTAACTGGCAATACTTTTGAAATGATGGCATGATGCAAGATCATTCAAATATCAAACCGATCTTTCTATTTTCCTCAGGTACTTTACTGGACTTTTAACACCGTGGAAAGGTATTCTCCTTTTTGGACCTCCAGGGACAGGAAAGGTTTGTAATTCCTTCCAATCCTGTTGATTGTTTATGTTTCTTTTTCTGTGCTTTGGTTATACAGTATTTGCTCTTCTATTTGCTTACCCAAGAAAAGCTGTTAACCGTATTGCATTTGTACCTTTCCTAGCTGAAGTGATCATGCTATTTGGTGGGGGGATTGGGAGATGGGTTTTTTAAAATTAATTTGTTAAAATCTTACTTTCATCGAAAATTGCTCTCCATGCAATGAGTTCTTATGAAAAACTTACTCTGAAATGAAGATGCATTTTCAAAGTCCTGTTGATGCACAACCCAGTTAATCTTTTACAATGATACTTTGGACAAAAATTAATTTAACATCTAATGGTGCAGACAATGCTTGCCAAGGCTGTTGCAACAGAGTGCAAGACCACATTTTTCAACATTTCAGCATCATCTGTTGTCAGTAAATGGCGCGGTATGTTAGGGTTGAACAATTTTCTGAAGATCATGCTTGTTTGTTTGCTTATTTGTCATAAAATGGATGGGGAAGAATTTAGTAGGGTCCAAATTTGCCACCTTGTTATTTGAGCTTCCTATCCGTTCTTTAACATTTCCTTCAATTTTAACGTTTGCATAATCTTTCAGGCGACTCAGAGAAGTTAGTGAAGGTGTTATTTGAGCTTGCTAGGCATCATGCGCCATCAACTATATTTATTGATGAAATTGACGCAATTATTAGTCAACGTGGTGAAGGACGAAGTGAGCATGAAGCAAGTAGGCGTCTGAAGACAGAGCTACTCGTACAGGTGATGTTTGTTTTTAAAGAGTGCTGCTTTCTTAGTGTTCTCTCCCATCATATGTTACTTGTGTTGATCACAGAATCTTGTTTACTGCATCGTATCAGTTTATAACATTTGAGAAACTATGTTAACACTGTGCTTAGAACTTTTAATTGTCTTGGTTCCGAGCATCAGGATATTCCACATGTCAACTATGCTTTGTTCAAAAATTGATTAGCTTGTATTAGATTGCAGATGGATGGTTTGACGAAGACAAGTGAACTTGTTTTTGTTTTGGCTGCTACAAATCTTCCCTGGGAACTGGATGCAGCCATGCTCCGGCGTCTTGAGAAGCGAGTATCCTTTTGAAAAGTTAAATTATGCTCAGTGAAATGTGCCAAGTCAACTATATGGAAACGACAGAAGTTATAATTATTAGCATATAATGTTATACACTTCGTTACAATCTCATAGGTCTGAATGCAAATCATAGTTTCACAAACATTAACGGAGTACGAGTTAGTTGAGTGCTGGTATCTATATTTGGGTGTATATGAATATGCATTACATGCCAGGATATTCGAGATGTCTAAATAGATGTAGGATCATTTTGCGGTTGATTATGGTATAGAATACGGGAAGGTTCACCTGCAGTATCACATCCATTATCCGTTATTTGCATTCTCTTCTAGCTAGGTATCCAAATACGAGGCAGTTTTTCACATGATCAAGCATATTCTGTATCCAGCCATTTTATTCGGGTTCTCCATTAACCATGAAAAATTTAGATTCTTGTGCCTCTGCCTGAACCAGAAGCAAGAAGAGCAATGTTCGAGGAGCTCCTGCCAGTACAGCCTGATGAGGAGAAGCTTCCTTATGATTTGTTGGTGGATAAAACTGAAGGATATTCAGGTTCAGATATTCGATTGGTGTGCAAGGAGGCTGCTATGCAGCCTCTGAGACGCATAATGACATTCCTTGAAGACAAAGAGGACACGGTTCCTGAGGATGGTATGTGACTCTAAAAGTATTAACCAAAATTGGATGCATATGAGCTTAATGTAAATATGAACTTGGGCAACGGGTTTTTGTTTAGACACGCTCGGTAAAAGGTTATGCCATGATGTTTTTGGTTGCAGAACTGCCCAAGGTTGGACCGATCAAACACGAAGATATTGAGACGGCTTTGAAGAACACAAGGCCGTCTGCTCATCTCCAAGCTCATCGTTATGAGAAGTTCAATGCTGATTATGGTAGTCAAATACTCCAATGACGGCACACAATCCCTCTCGTCTCGTATCGTTAGATGATCTTTTCGTAGTTTTGGAGATCACTAGATTATCATTTCCTATTCACATTTATAGGGTTCTGAGAAGTGTGATTCACGTAAAACCGAATAAGAACTTGGCTTCCTTGACATGGAAATATGTTACTGTTTTGTATTTCTGCGGTTCCGATTTTGTGATTCCGATTTGATGTGAGAACTGATTAGCCGGGATTGGCTTTAATCTTTCAAATTCAAGTTTGTGCTCCCCCAGTGCAAGCGAACGGACGTTCTTTTGCCGGTGAAATGATTTTACAACTTTTAACTCACATTATTCCATTTCACAAAACCGTGCCAAGTGACATTCTAGGATTTATACAGCTGGGGATAAGACTGTTATTTATAACTCATGTTACTCCGTTTCCCGCCCGTGTTATGATTTGAGTTTCATTTGAGCAAAGTTCGGTTCTTCTTGTTACATGTTTGGTAGAGATGGCTTGACAAAGGACCCTCTAAACCCTAAACCCCAACTAACATGCCAACTATCCACATGTCATACCTCAAAACACCAGAACCCCAATGGAAAGGGATCCTCTCCGGATCCGTTTCCACCTAATCCGTCAATTCGGGATCTAGGCCGTTGAAATTTGATCATCTTTAAAAGTGATAATAACTGTAGCCGTTGGATCGAATTTCAACGGCCCGGATCCCAGACTAGGTGGATTAGGTGAAAAGGGATCCTCCCTATGTCACAGTCAAACCATACGAAAATCTAAACCCTAAATTCCAGAATGCAACATTCACCCTTCCAATCCCACAAAAACACATCAGATCATCAATTAGCTGCTACTCAGGCGAGTTGTTCTGCTAAACTGTAAACTGATATTCTTCCAGTCTTTTACATAGAGCTTTAGAAAAGCTACGTGCAACAGAGTTTCATAACACGAAGAACCATCCTACCATGAAAGAACTCACTGAGGATTAAGATCATATAAACGAAAAAACTACTAAAAAAACAATGTCAGCTCCATGTTTAGTTGAAACCCCTTTGATAGATCACCCGGTTTGTCCAAACTTTGCATCAGTCCACGCTTTGGCAATTGTTCGTTTCATGTCCGGATCCCCTTCATCGTACATATTCTACAAGATCCGTTGCATACGGTAATTAACAAAGCAGAGAAGAAACACAGTACACATTTTCATATATGACAATGTAAATATTTGGTAACCTCACCTTCTTCAAGTCCATGATTCCTGCCATGGGATCTTTCTCTTTATCCAGACTCGGCTTCAGCTGCAAGATCAAAATAACGAAAACATTCAGTTACATTTCTCCGTTTTCCGAAGCATAAAATGGGAGAGTTCAAAGATACGATGAGATATACCTTGTCCTCCTTAAATTTCAAGTCTAACCAGTAATCCTTTGAAGTTTTAGCCAAATTGATAACAGCCCTTGTAGGCTTAACCAGCACCTTACACTTCTCTGGATTGATCTCCTTGTTCAGCTTACCGAACCTGTAATTCTTTCCTTCCACATCATGGAGTTTGATGTCAAATGACATAGGCTTGAAGTCGGTCTCTATCTTCTCCTGATCAACTCCCTCCAGAAATATGTATATCTGCACGGAAAAAAAAAGTGAAGGTGATCAAACCGAAACAACAACCACTGAAGAAACCTAAAGTTAACAATGGAATAACATACGACCAGTCTAAACCTAATGCAAAAACACATGGTGAATATGTTCGCACCTTCACTTTGTCGTTGTCCTGATCCCAGCTGAACGACGAAAGCGCAGTGTAATGCAGAGTTGGGGTGGCAGTATCAGTTGAAATTGGAGTTGGGATTTGCAGTGCAGGTGAAGCAGCAGCCTCTTGTGACATCTGCAATGATCAAAGACCACATTATTTCCCATACATGAACATAGCAAGATTCCATATCTGGCCTTGAAATGGCGGGTTCATACGATCTTAACAAGCGCTTATCCGTCACTAGATACCATAAAAATCTCATAATCTTTCAAACATTACAACATTTCAAAATGCTAAAGCAAAGACAAAGTTATGAAGTTGGTTTGAAACAGAAAATTTGATAAGACGATATTCTAAACTAGTCTAATCTACGGAAAGAGAGATTCAAACTTGGGTTCATGACCCGTGCCAAATCATACTGCAACAACACATGTGAAAGAATCCATAGGCATTAATAATACTGAGCTCATATGCTCACTTCACACTAAATTCTAAAATCAAATACAAGTTTCCATAATTTTTTTTTCTGGGTCAAATATAAACCAAATTTCACACAAAAATGTGGGGACATCGCCAAAACAATCACATTGTGGCAAAAATTTCACTACATGTTAGAGGCATGTAAAAAATGTAAATATTAAATAGCAAATGCTGAGATACAAAACAAAAAATGGGACCTTTTTCTCCGGAGTGCGAATCTCAGTGGAAATGAGGTTGATGACACGGGATCGTTTCGCAATGCTCTGAAGGTGGCGGAGCTCCTCCACGTCCAGCGCCACTTCCTCTGCCATTTGCTATTTCGTTCTCCAAAGAAATGGCTTTTCGTTTTGGGATCTTTTAATATAGCCACCTTATTTTTTAATTTTCTAAATCAAACACCTATGGTTTTTAACGATTTGATTAAACTTTTTTTTTGTCATAATTTTGGTGCTATATGCACATTATATTGTAACAAATTTTCTATAATTTAACCTTTTGATTACACTCTCATCCGTTAGAGATAATTGTAAAAAAAAATGTTGGTTAGATTCAATTTATTTTCACAATAATGCTACAATTTAGTAATAATTATCTATGATTTAAGATATTTTCTTTTCAAAATAGTTTAAAATATTTTTAAATCTCTCAAAATTAAACGTACAGAAATAAAATTTTCTTTTAGTACGTTAAAAGAAAATAGAATTGAGAATAATATAAACATCATCCCCTAAAAATCTCTCCTGCTTCCTTCTACTTTTCTTTCTTCTCTTTCCATTCCCTGTCTTTTTTTTTTTATGCTTTTTTCTGAGCTTTGTCTCATCTACCTGAGCTTTGGTCTCAGTTTTGTTCCCTCTCCTCAATCATTGATCGCTTATTGTCATCCCCCCCATACCTCCCCATCACACCCTGTTCTCCTACCTCCCTCCTGCTGCCCTTCATCTTTCCCAACTCTGAACCATGATTTAGATCTACGAGTATTGGGCTCTATCGTGAATCAAGACCCAACCTGCACAGCCCCATTGTCGATCTGGCTTATTGGAAAAATTGGGCGAAGTGTGGAACGATTCACGTCGGAACAAGGGTGTTTTACACACCCCCTTCGCCCTCCCCCTTCCCCTGTTACGTTTGGTGACTTTCCTTGCAGGTGTGGCTACGGTGGCTTTGGCTCCTGGTGGATTGATTTTGTGCAATACTCTCAGATCTGGGTTTTGCTTCGGGTGCATTTTTCTGTTTGGTGCGATGTCTTTCTTCAGGGAGGTAACGACGGATGTGGAGGTGGTGACCAGGTTTTTGCTTCGAGATTTGAGGATTTTACTGTTTATTGTTTCTTTTGTAGCCTATGGGCCTAAATCAGTGCTGACCTTCGTAGCTAGAGTTGTAGCTCTCCCTTGTTTAGGCTTGTCCTCTATCTTATGTTTGCTTTGTTGTGTAGGGCTTAGTGCTCTGTTTAGGTTTAGACCTCCTTTAATTAATGAAGCTTCATTTTCGACCCACAAAAAAAAAAAAAAAAAAAAAAAGTAAACTTCCGGTCATGGAAGTAAGTGCTCTACCACTAAAAATATGAATTAAGTACTCAAGTAATACCTCAGGTCCTCAACTGATGTGAATCGGATTGATATTTCTCGTCGAGGCGATCGATCTCGGAGAAGAGAGAGGCGCTGGTTTCGGGTACGTTCCATGTGTTCGAGTCCTTCCCGGAACGCGGCGGAAAGCGCCATCGCGATTTGCAGGGGGCGAAGGCGCGAAGAATTGTGGTTCTGTTTCTGAAGGTCAACGAAATTTTTGAACTTTGGGGAATACATAGTGGCAGTTTCGAATACGTGGTCTAATGCAATTGGTTGCAAAGTGTGTGGCATCCAATTAACTCTTTTGTACCTAAATTGTTTGCTAATGTATAAAAGCGTTGTTTATTTTCATAATTATTATTGAAAGATTATTTTTTGAAAAAAAAAAAAAAACCTTTCAACTTGGTGCTTGTTCAATTATCTGTATAGGATAAAAATGAATATTTTTGCTCATCACCTTCAAGTGAAGGTAATGCTCATCACCTTATTTATCATTTTAACGAATTTAAATTTCGAGATTTGTGTATTGGATAGACACAAATATTAAAATTTAAACCCCTACAGTGTTGATAAAAAATTTGGTGAGTATTATAACCACTTGAGTGTGGTGAACAAAAATATACCGATAGAATAAATCAACGTTTTCTTAATCATTGATAATTTCATGATGAACCAAGTATTTAGTTGAGTAGATTTTTTCTAAAGAATTAAGTTTAATCTATAGAAACAACGCCAAGTGCAAACATCTTCAAATTAGAGAATTAGCGAAGTGCACCATTAGTTTCTCTAAAATACGAAAATTTAGCACCTGAAAAAACAGTGATAATTAAAATGCACCATGTACTAATCAAAGTGGAAGCCAGCTAGTTAATTTCTACTGCATTACTAGTACTTTTACAGGAGTGGAGATCCTCTCCGAATCTCTGTATTAGAACTCTAAAGATTCGAAGATTCAGGCCGTTGAAGAGAGAGAAAGAGAGATACAGATTCTTGATTTAAGATGCATCAGTGAAATAGGCTAATGATGACCGCAAAATTTAAAATAAACACCATGAAATCTCCGATTCCGTCGGCCACGACATGAATATCCAGATAAGATCTCAATTCCTTTCTACAGGGAGTGTGTTAATTTACTAACCGACTTTTGGTAATATATTGAGGTAACAACGAGGACAAACAGCCCTTTGAATCTAATTGTCAAAAGAAAATATTACTTTGAATTTAAAACTGTTATTCCTCAAGGCTCTCCTCACTTTCTCCAAATGCTGACACGGTTATCATCTTAATTATAAAATTTCATACAGCTTTCAAAGGAAGATCCTACTGCACATGAAGAACTATTTGCAGATCTTGGAGAGCTTTCTTAGTGAGAAGGGATTTGAGAATTATTTAAGGCTATTGACTTGCATTGTTAGATATATACATTGGCAGTTTCGGAGGAGGGATTCCTAGTTTTTGAGCTCTACATTGTATGCATGCAACCGGTTATATGAATTGTGATTAAAAAATAGACGGTTCGAATCGTTGAAATACAATGTAGAATGAGAGCTCATTTGGAAGTGCTTTTAAAATAACTAAAAATGTTTTTGGTGAAAATATTTTTGAAATCATTTAAAGTGCTTTCAGAACCAACATTAAATTTTAAAGCACTAAAAGTGCTTTTAATAACTTTAAAAGCGCTTCCAAACGAGCGCTGAGTCTCACAAATAGACAGAGGATCAGGATTCCCTCTCCTAAAAGTGTCTTTTACATAGAATGTTCATTACCATTTTAAGAAAAATAACTAAGGGGGCGTTTGTTTGGCTTCGTTAGCTTTCACTGGACTGGACTATTTGGGTAGGATTATTATTCTGTGTTTGGTGCAAGCCGGGATTGAGTTTATGGGATTAAGCCGGACTTGTGCCGACTAAATCCTTCGTTAGCTGGGCTTAGCGAGAGCCCCCGGAAAGGAGGAGATTGCTAGTCCCGTTTCCCCGCTTCCCCTCGCTTCGCCTTGCCCCAAGCCTGAGCACTTGCCCTTCCACATTCTCTCTCCCCACCTCCCTCTCGTCTGTCCAGAAGATCTCCAAGTTTGCAAGAATTTCCAGGTCTGCAAGAATCCCCAAGTCTGCACCTGGATTTGACAAAAACGATTCAAATGAATCTTGATGCGAAAATTAACTTAACACACAAATTAAACCTTTTTTTGACAATTGTAGTATATGTATAAGTAGGGATCGTTCTGGACCGGGGATTAGGAGGGCTTGCTAATAACCTCTAAACTGACTCAAAAACATAAAAAAAAAGTTAAAAACGTTTGAATAGACTTAAGGGACTCAAAATAGGTTCAAAAGACTTAAAACAACTTAAAAACACTCAAAGCTGCCTAAAAACACTTGTTGGGCAGTTTCTGACTCTAAACACAACTTTGAACGAAAATTGGGTTTTGGCTTCACCTAAAATAATAAAAAACACAAACAAAACAGATTTGAAACACTTTGAAACAAGAAACTAAAAGGGGGGTTTTGATTTGGATGAAGTTAAAACAAACAAACAAGTATGAAAAACTAGACATATTGTAAAACGAATTTAAGAAATAAGATGATGGATGGGATGGCTAGAGGATTTTTCTCCACACATGACATGTATGCAAACAACTCGATTTCTAGTTACTACTTCATTGAATTATGAACGACAATACCCCAAATTAACTGTGACATCACTAGTTAACCCTCAGATTTTCCTTGTTTTATTGGATTGGATGACATTATTCGACAATCCAAAATATTCTTCAAAAGTTCCCTACATGACATCATAATAGAGATACAATCAAAGATCATTACGTTTAATGAAAATCATAAGCGTTGACAAAACACTTGCAACTATGACATCATGTCACTCATACTAGAATTAAACTCAACGCGATCGTTTATAAGCGACCTCCACTACTTATGAATATAAGTTTGTAACGATTATGTGAAACTTTCTTATATTCTAGCATCGGATTTATGCATGCCAATTAAGTGTCGACCCTTGACAAATACAAATAAGTTATCAATCAAATAGTTAAGCCAATTGCATTCACAATTCAAGAGTTCATAACTGAAATTTATCAAATCATATTGCACACATAATCATGGCTTTGAAATCATCCCTAGCTAAGAGGGGTTTAGCCACTCATGTTCACAACAAAACGAAAGATAATGAATTTAAACATAGTAAATAAAGAACGAGTTACGCCTAGAATGCTTCAACAATCAAGCTTGAATATCCAAGAGTCCTTCCTTCTTTCTTCACTCACGGCACAAGGTTAGGTGTAAGGTTTGGATGGTGATTTGTATGGAAGTGTTTGAAAGAATGAATGGATGTTTATGGATGAAGGTTGTATTGAAATGGGGATGAATGATCAAGCAAAAACTGAACTCTATGGTTGCCACACACGCTTCCTTTTATAGGGGAAGTGCACGGCAATGGAGGGGAAAATGGTGGTGTGTGCAATGATTCAAGTGAAAGTGAAGTAGTGATGCAAAGCATGGGGACTAAAATGGAGTGGTGTTGCAGCAATGAGTGCATGGAGTGGTGTTGAAATGATTCAAAGGTGAAAGTGAAGTGATGATGCAAAGCATGGGGGGTAAAATGGAGTGGTGTTGCAGCTATGAATGCAAGTAGAGAACATGAATGATTGTGCACATGGTAGAGAAAGGAAATGAGGGTGGAATGGTGCAGAAATGAGTTAAAGGTGTAGGTTGAGTCATGATGCACGACATGGGAGTCCAAAGGTGGTGGATGGTGCATCAATGAGTGCATGTAGTAGAGGTAAAAGTGCATGAAATCTTATGGGTGAAGGGGACAAGGAATGTGCAGCAATTGAGTGCAATGATTCAATGTATTG